AGGCATGAGGAGGATTATAGTCGATTTAAACACTTAGTTTTAAAATCGTTGTGATATTGTTTTTTTTTTTTTTTTTTTTTTTTCCTTTTTATCGGTACCGGGGATTGAACTCACGACTGCCTGCTTGCAAGGCAGGCGCTTATGCCGCTGAGCTAAATCCCCAGCCCCTTGATATTGTTTTGATAATAAGGATATGAGTTTTAAAAAATTGGTGTGGTCCTGGGCATGGTAGTGCATGAATGTAATCCCAGCACTCCAACTGCGAGTTTGAGACCAGCCTGGGCTACATAAGCAAGTTCAAGTTCAAAGCCGGCCTGTGCTGCATAGTGAGACCCTTTCTCAAAAAAAAAAAAAAAAAAAAAGGAAATTAAAAACAAACAAACAAAAAATAGGTGTGCTGGGGGGTTGCATGAGGATCACTTGCATTAGGACCTGCCTGGGTCAGGGCTCTGGCTGCCCCTGCCTGCCACCCCAAACCGCCCACCTTGCAGTGATGTCAGCTTGGGTGCACCGAGCGCCCTTCCCTGCACTGCTGCAGGAGCTGGAGCTGCCACATTCCAACCAGTCCCTCAGCGTGCTGAGCCTGGAGCCTGTCTGTAAAAGGAGAGACAGAGTCCCTGCCCTCTGTTCTCACAGGCCCAGACGGTGGGAGAGTGGAATGCGGCGGTGGGTACGGCAGCACTGAATCCACTAGACACCCCAACCCCGCAGACAAGTTTGGGGCCTGATGCTCCCCTCAACAACAGAGGAAAGGGCCTGCTTGTGTCAAGCATAAGCGTATTTCAGGAATCCCAAGTTATTCCCACATACCTTGCAACACAGAACATAGGAAATAACACTGTTTTCTTCTCCCTCCGCAACTTCAGGACTGGGGATTAAATTCAAGGCCTTCACACTGAGCTACATCTCTATTTGTTTTTTATTTTGAAATTGGGTCTCGCTAAGTCTCAAAGCTGCTCAGGCTGGGCTTGAATGTAGGATCTTTCTGCTTCGGCCTCCCAGAGTGCTGGGATCACAGGCTTGTATCAGCAGTCTGTCTTGTGCTTTCATTTAGAATGAGTTTCAGTCAAAGTATTGAATCTTCTGTTCTTCCAGGCTGACCCCCAGGACACCTCCTCTCACCATGCCAGCTGTTTCTTCCAAATCGTATCTGGCTATTCCTAAGTAAATACTACGTTTTTCATTTTATGTCTTAAATATATACTCATAGCCAGGCATGGTGGTGCACACCTGTGATGCCAGTACTTGGGAGGCTGGAGCAGGAGGATCATGGTGGGTCAGAGGCCAGCCTGGGCTCCATAGTAAGTTCAAGGCCAGCCTAAACCACAAAGTGAGCCCCTGTCTCAAAAAAACTTATATATATATATATATATATATATATACATATACATATATATATATACATATATATGTATATTCATTGACTTTCTGTTACATTGAAAAAGGACTTAGTTCACTTTATATTCCTCTATCTCTTTTCCTTATTCTTTTTTAAATCAGATTTTATTAGTATATCTTAGATATATATATAATGACCACATTCATCACAAAGAATTCATACCTGTACATGACACAATTTGTTTCTTTTTTTCCATTTCCCTACCCTCCCCATTTACATTTTTTTCCTTCTTTTCTCATTTGTTTTCATTTTTCCTTCTTTTCTCGTTTTTTTTCCCTCCTCTCATTCTTCCAACATAATTGTATCACTGTTTTGGCTATGGTGTCACTTCAGAAATACACTAACCTCTCCTCTTGCTCTTCCTCTGGTTCCTCCTCCTCCTCCTCCTCCTCCTCCTCCTCCTCCTCCTCCTCCTCCTCTTCTTCCTCCTGTCTTTTCAAGATAGGGTCTCGCTGCATAGTCCAGGCTGGTCTTGAACTCACTACGTAGTCCAGGTTGACCTTGAGCCTGTGGCAATCTTCCTGCCTCGGCCTTCCAAGTGTTAGAATTACAGGCGTGCACTTCTGCCCCCAGCGTCGTCCCTTAGTATCTTTGGATGCTACTCATCAGTGCTTCATAAGACCAGGCAACTACTGCTGAGCCTCCTCTCTTCCTCTCCATCCTTCTCTCTCCAAGGTCCTGTGATGCACATGTAGGCTTTCGAATTTGTGGGTTCAGTATCTGTGGATTCAACCAACCATGGATGAAAAATATTCAGAAAAAAACTGCATCTGCTCTGAACGTGTACAGCCTTTTTTCTTGTCATTCTTCCCTAAGCAACACAGCATAAAACTTGTAAGTATTATTTAATATAGAGGTGATTCAATAGCTGTGGGAGGATTGCCAAGGTTATATACAAGTACTACACTATTTTATACAAAGGGCGGGAGGCCCTGTGGCTTCTGGGGTTTGCAAGAAGATCTAGAACCTGTCCCCTGAAGATACTGCAGTCAGCTGTACGCTGTGACGTCCTGATTGACGGCGTTGTCATTTTGTTTCCTAGTCCTAGTGACGCCTTCCTGGCTTTGTTTGCAGGTTGAATCTAAAATCAACAAACAAGGTTTATATTATGGGGACTGTACACACGATTCTTTGCACAGCCAGTGGTGTGCGTGTGTATCTGCCCATGTTTGGTATCCTGTGATGCTTTTCTTTATTCTGGAATTTCAATTAGCTTTTTTTTTTTGTCCTTGCACTATCTGACTGCATTGTGTTCTCCATTTTCCCAACCACCCATCCCGGTAGACGCTTGCTGTGTGTTCCGTGCCCTGGGTCTGCCTTCTGCACCCCTCTGTTCTCCTTCCCGTGCGAGGCCGTGCTGTACCACGGAGCTACCCCACCCTCCCACCTCCAGCGGATGCATCCTTCTGATTATTGCCTTTTAAGGACCTGGCTGTCCGTGGAAACTCTTTAGCCTTGGTGACTTATTATTTCACAATGTGATTCCTAGGAGTGGTCTTGTGTCTCATTGCTCTGCGATCTTTCAGTCTGAGGCCTTGAGTCCTTGACCTCTGAGAAACCTTCCCGTACTATCCTTTGAATATTCTCTCCTTTGTATTTTATCTGTGCTCTTTTTTCAGAAAACCCCAGTGGTTAGACTCCACTTAGATCCCCTCATGTCCTTTATCTCTTGGCTCATTCCCTTCTCCAATCTCTTTGTCTTGATATTTTCAAGTCCAAATATTTAAGTTCAAGAACAATTTCCTTGTTCTGGCTGTGACATAAGCAGAAAATATACTTCTCGTTATATCGTTTCTGTAATAACAGAATGACAGGCATTTCAAACAAGTTTCACTTAAGAGTTTAAGAATTACCATAAAAACAGAAACCAAAATTACCTTTAATGAGCAACGCTCTGAAAACATAACTGCGAAATAGAGCAAGGCTTTTAGAGACACAGAATGAGGGTGCAGTGGTGGAAGCCTGCTGGAAAAACAAGCTGGTGCTCTAGCTAGCAGCCGCCTGGGTCCACAGGCTCCGGTGCATGCTGTGCCCGCCCCCATCCCGCTGAGAAGCGGGTGGGTCAGCCCTGTCCACAGACCAGAGCAAGGGGTTAGCTCTCCAGCCAGGGGACAGTCTCCTCCAGGCTGAGAGGCCACAGAGGTTTCCAGGGCTGAAGGGACACCTGAGGCCAGAGGAGTCCAGAGAAGCAGGCTAAGCTTTTCCCCTGATCTACAATATATCGTTCTTGTTTATTTTATTATTCTACTTTATCAGGTATGATTGTTAAGTTCTCGCTCTGCCTAAATTATAAATTGTGCCTTACCATAGATATTTATGCATAGGAAAGAGACAGTGTAGAGTTCCGTATTATCTATAGTTTTGTGGGTTCACTGGAGTCATCACACACACACACACACACACACACACACACACACAGATCAGGTGGGACTACTGTGCTAACAGCTGCTCCTAATGAAGTCACAAGGGTTAAAAGAGACAATGCATAGAAAGTCCTAGCACACTGCTTAGCACATGGGATCCCAGCAGTCAAGATGGTGCTAAATTAAAACAGTGCAAGACACCGATGTTCCCAGAATGAGGAGGAGTTGGAGAAAGGCCATGGGATTGTTAAATGGTTCCTATTATTCTGGTAGGAAGCTCAGTATCTCCCCTTACTGTATTTCTGTATAATAAAACGCACCTCTTCAGTTCCAGGTTTCCGAACTATAACTCGCAGGGATGACTCCAGTAGGCCAGTGGTGGGAAGCCCATGGCACTGGGGCGGCAGTGGGCTGTTTGTTACCACTGAAAGCTCTGAAAGGTTTGCAATTCCTGCAGCAGGCCAGGGGGATACTTCTTGCATCTAGGCCTCGGGCTCTTCATTTGACGGAGGAAAAGTTGTAACAACTCCACTTAGAAATCTATTCTATAAGGGCGTTCACTATAGCATTGCTTATAATAGCAAAAACTTGAAAGAAATCTAAATATTTATCAGTGAGGAAATAGACTTAATAAACTGATACATTCCTGCAAAAGAAGACTATCCAGCTGGTAAAAAGACAGAAGTAAATCCACATGGGTTGATAGAAATGAAACTTATTAAGGCATAATTTACATGCTATAAAATGCACCATTCTGAGGATAATCTGCATTATGACATGTATTTACCTGTGCCAGTGTCACCCTGATCAAGACAGAAAATGTGTTCATTACTAACAGTTCCCTCGGGCTCCTCTCCATCATCCCCTCCCTATCTGTGGTGAGTCAAACACTACACGAAATTCCAATCCATAGATGCATTTTGTTTGTTCTTAAACTTCATACACTTGGAATTATAGGGGCTTTCAGCTATGATGTTGGGATTCATGGTAGTTTTTTTTGTTGTTGTTATTATGAACTGAATATTTGTGACCCCACCGAATGTTAAAGTACCAAGTCCCAGTGTGACAGTATTTGGAGTAAGGGCACCTAAAGAAGTAATTAAGATTGTGCAAGAACACAGGATAGGGACCTCTTCTAACAGAATCAGCATCCTTGTAAGGGGAGACTGCAGAGAGAGAGTTTTCCTCCTTGGATCTGACCGGAGCCGCGGGAGACAGGAGACCAAACTCGAGCAGGATCAGCTCTCAAACTTTATTACGTACAGCGAACCGGACCTGACAAGGTCCGCCACCCTCGGTGTTGATTCCTCTTCCGCCGTTGGGGGCAGGAACAACCTCTTATAAGGGGAAGCAGTATCCAATCACAGAGAAGCGCGCCTAACAAGCTGATAGGCTAGCGTCACGGGTAACTGGGCAGATATGACAATTTGGCGGGCTTGTTCAGGCCGGGAAGAACCCGGAAGCAGGAAATGGGCGCCATCATAGGCGGCTTCCCACATCTCCCCCTTTTTTATTTATTAAAATAGGATGGTCTGTAGGTCCCTCCAAGGTGTCTATGACCTTGTTGCTGTTAGACACCTAGGAGTGGGCCTACCTTGTAGGCCGAGGCATGAGAGAATGTAGAGGTCTATACCCTGCTGTGCATCACCCTGTTTTGTGCATATCCTTGCGCCAGGACCATGCTCAAGGTGAGTGGTTCATTTTTTCGCAGGGCCAGGCTTTTGTGAACCGAACCTGGATGCATATAGACATTCATTCCTGCCTTCCCCCCAACCTTTGGGGCGGATGGCACTGCAGTACCCTTGGTCTCGCATCTCAATGCCAATAATTTGACTCCGGGAGGGACCCCTGGCCTTATAGGCCATGTATATCTGAGTGGAGCCTGTCTTAGGTTGACCGGGAGGGCTTTTCCCGTCTTACCCGTCATTGGCTTGCCCACTCAGCTCTTATAGCTGATGTTCTGCAATGTGAAGGAGATATGCGGCGGCCTGCTGGCCTGATGGGCCACCTGCTGCCATTTGCATGGCTGCCATAGCTGTGATCTTAACCTGCTGCTGAGTTTGTATGAGGCGATCTAACAAGCATTTAATAACCACAAGCCCTACTAGGATAGCCATGGCAATTAGCATAATCAAGGACTGTTTGATTGATGGTGTAAACCCTGGGTGAGGCGGGCGAGGCCGCCGAAAAAGGTGCCAATGTAGGCGGGTGGTGCCAAGGACCCCAAAGATATTGTGGTGGTTCTGTGGAATCTGAGCATATCACAGGGGTGATTAATAGGAACCCACAGAATAGAAAAAACTCCAAACCAGACATTTTAGTTTGTAGATGGTCTCGGGCGCTGAGCGTCGGTCCCAGAAGGGTCGAGTTGACTTGTGTCCGCGGGCTTATCCTCCTGTGCTTTATCAGGAACTGGTGGGGAGTTTCCTGCTCGCGTCAATCTTTCCGGGACCCACAGCGGTTCGCAGCCTGGTTCCTGTGGGAAAACACAAACCGCACCTCGGGTCCAGCTAACCACTGGATCCGGGCCCATCCATTGTCCTGTAAGGACATCTTTCCATCTCACCAGCCCTTTGTCGGCCGGGGACGGATTGCTATGTTCCATGGCAGGGGAATGATTTTTATGATTAAGGTTTAAAAAATTTATGGTAAAGAGTGCCAATGATATTCTTCCTTTGGGCGTTAGGCCGTGGCCACCCAATTCACGGCACAGGCATGTCCACTCTTCTAAGGACCTATTTTTGTTAGTTCTTAGGACATCACGGCACTCCTTAGTGCACTGTTCAAAAATCAATTGTTTTATGAGAGGGTGAGCCGCCTCAGCATCTGGAAAAATCCTGTTAGCGGCCTCAAGCATGCGGGCCACAAAGTCTGAAAATGGCTCTCCCTGCCCTTGTATAATTTTTGTAAGGTGACCCGTATGTTCTCCCTTTCCAGCCAGCCATCTCCAGGCCTGGAGGCCACAGCGGCTAATTTGTTCATAAACCTGGCGAGGGTATTGAGTTTGATCTTCCTCAAAGGCTCCTCGCCCTAATAGCATATCCCTGTTCCACTCTCTCTGGTTATTTTCCCTGTTGGCTGCCGCCTGCTCTACACAGAATTCCTCATTCCAGGACTTCCAATCTAAATATTGTCCAGGGGAGAGGCAGGCGCGTGCCAGCTGGGTCCAATCTCCAGGAGTTAAAAGCAGACCTGCCAATGCCTCTAAAAGCACCATGGTAAATGGCGCATTGGGCCCATAAGCTGAAACTGCGTCCTTGATAGTTTTAAGTTGTTTAATTTCTAAGGGCTCATAATATCCTCCTCCTCCCCTGCCTCCTACTTGTACCGGGAATGCATGGAGACCGGAACACTCAAAGGGAAGCCGCGACCATACCCTCTGGTGGAAGGACCGTGAACTTGCCAAAGGGCGGAAGGGCTTAAGCTCCTCCCGTAAGGCGGAGTAGCTCGAGCAGGGTGGTGTTTGGTTCCCCTTTTTATCTTCCCGAGCCCTGAATTCCTCTTTAAGCTGTGCAGGAGGGTCCTGTTTAGCGAAGACAACCTCCTCTTCTGAACCTTCCGAATCCGAATCAGAATTAGAGCCCTGAGGGTCCTCCGGAGACCCACAATCGGCAGTGGCTCCAGGCTCCTCTGAGCATTCCGATCGAGCTCTATCAAAAGCCTGTCGGGCTGTATTAGCGAAGCGAAAGCAAAACAGATGCAAAGGGAAAAGAAAAGAAAAAAAAAAACCGGCGTCCACTCGTGTGGCGCTCAAAATCTGTTAGGTGCGTCCACCCAACCCAGGTGACCCAGTACTCACCTGTCCCGGGAACCGCTGTATCTCACGTAGCTGATCAGGGTGAAGAGAAGAGGTGCTCGCGGCCTTCCGTTGTTATTGGGCCAGGTCCTCCGTCGTACCGCAGGCGACAGCAATCGCACCTCCCGGCCGAAGAGGCACGTCGCTGAGTCTTTTACCTTTTTCCCCGTACGGGGGCCACCAGATGACCGGAGCCGCGGGAGACAGGAGACCAAACTCGAGCAGGATCAGCTCTCAAACTTTATTACGTACAGCGAACCGGACCTGACAAGGTCCGCCACCCTCGGTGTTGATTCCTCTTCCGCCGTTGGGGGCAGGAACAACCTCTTATAAGGGGAAGCAGTATCCAATCACAGAGAAGCGCGCCTAACAAGCTGATAGGCTAGCGTCACGGGTAACTGGGCAGATATGACAATTTGGCGGGCTTGTTCAGGCCGGGAAGAACCCGGAAGCAGGAAATGGGCGCCATCATAGGCGGCTTCCCACAGGATCACCTTACCAGACCCTTGAGAACTGTGATACACATACACATATGTGTGTGTGTGTGTGTGTGTGTATATATATATATATATATATATATACACTTTTTTTTTGTCTGTTTGAGATAGGGTCTCATTATGTAGTTCAGGTTGGCCTTGAACTCACTTTGTAGTCCAAGAGGGTCTCAAACTTACAGTGCTACTCTTACCTCAGACTCCTGAGTTACGAGATTACAGGCAGGCTTTACCATGCCTGGCTTTCATACATATTTTGTTATAGATGTTCACAGAAACTTACACCATTGCTGAGTAGTATTCCATTACGTGAACTTAGCACAGTTTGTTTATTCTCTGTAGATGGACATATGGGTGAGGGAGAATACATATATTCTTTGTATATATACATATATATATAAGAATTGAATTGTGGTATATGATAAGTATATGTTTAACATTATTAAATACTGCTAAATAGTTTTCAAGAAGATAGTTGTCTTAGTTACATTCTTGTCACTGAGACACAAAACATCCACGACTTAAAGGAGGAACAGTTTATTTTGGTTCACAGTTTGTAGAAGTTTCATCCCTCAGTGGACTGGCTCCAAGGCAGAGTGGGATGGCAGAGGGGCATCATGGAGGAGAAACAGTCCATGGCACAGCAAGCAGGAAGCAGAGAGAGATCAAGGCAGCAGAGTGGAAGACAGACCATTCCAGGCCAGGGACCCACTCCTTCTACCTCGCATCACATTTAGCTATAAACTCATCAGTAGATTCATCCGTTGATGATTATGATTATCATGCCCCCACAATGCAATCAACTCCTCAAAGCACACAGGCTTGGCAGGTGGACTAAGAGGGGCGTCTAGACATAAACCATAACAGTACTATTTCACGCACCTGGTTGACTATGTGAGAGTTCCAAAGGCTCTATATTCCTGCCAAAATAGGTGTTTTCTATCTTTTTTTAGTTCTAACAATGTAGTACACATAATGGTCTGTGGTTTTAATTTGTGTTAGTCTGATGACAAATGATGTAGAGCATTAGATGATCAGGGACCTTCTTTTGAAATGCTTTTAAAATTTTTTGCCTTTTATTGCCGCATTGTTTTTTCTCTTTAATTTTTAGGTGTATGCTGGGAGTGATGGAGCATGTCTTTACTGCCAGTTCTTGGGAGACTGAGGCAGAAGGAGAGTTTGAGGCCAGTGTGGGCTGCACAGCAAGTTCAAGGCCAGTCTAAACTACAAAGGGTGACCTTGTCTCAAAAAATAAAAGAAACAAGAATACCTGGCTTAGTGTAAAGGCCCTGGGTTCAATCCTTTACGTGTGTGTGTGTGTGTGTGTGTGTGTGTGTGTGTGTATGTATTCTGGATAGGAATCATTTTTCAGACATATGTATTGAAAATATTTTCTTGTAGCCTGTGGTTTGTCTTCATTTTCTTAATAATGCATTCTGAAAACCGGAAGTTTTTATTATTGATGAAGTATTTATTTTTCATTAGTGCTTTTTGTGCTTTAAAAAATCTGTGTATAACAAGGTTGTATTTGCCTGTTTTATTCTATAAGCTTTATAATTTTGGTTTTCAAATCTAAGCCTATACTCTATTTGAGTTAGTTTTTGTGTATACTCTAAAGTATGGATTGAAGTCATTAGGTTCCATATAGATAGATTTATGTTTAAAAGATTAGCTTTTACCCTTTAAACTGCCTTTGAAATTGTGTCAAAATTCAGTTGAGGCTGTCTGTGCATTCTTCTGTATCTACTTTCATCTATTTCTACATTATTCCCTTTTTTCTGACCCTTACGTCAGTACTACATAAGACTTGAATGCTCAGAATGATTTTGATTGTTCTAGGTCACTTCTATTTCCTTTTTTTTATTTTAAAGGGAGTAAAACGAAACAAAATAGTGATAAGACATTAGTAAAGCTACAATAATTACCATGCTGCATATTGCTATCTTCTATATAGTTGCTCAGACCTCGGCTTTGGGCTTGCGAAGTGAAACAATGCAGTGCCTCCAAACCAGCTGGTAGCTTGGGGCGAGGGAATTCTTTTTTTTCTTCATCTGCCGGCTGGCTGGCTTGTGGGAAGTTTGGGTAGCTTCCTTCCTGATTCTCCTATTTCCATTTCTTTTTAAACATTTTTTGGTGTTTTAAAACCGGGTCTCACTGTGTAATTCAGGCTGACTTTATACTGACTAGGTATCCTAGGTCGGCCTCAAACTCGTGGCAATCCAAACCCAGATCCATTTCCATTTAAATTTCAGAATCACGTGTTAATTTCTACAACAAAGGCTGCTGGGATTTTAGTTGAAATTACATTGTATCCATAGATCGCTTTGCAGAACTGACATCTTAACAATACGAAGTCTTCCAGTCAATGAGCATTGTATACTTTTCCATTTGTTTAGACATTTTAAAATTCTTTTCAGCAGTGTTTTACAGTTTTTAATGTATGTACATTGGCTATATGTCGTTAAACTTTTCCCTAAATATTCTTTAACTGTTTTTTTTAGACAAGTCCTTGCTAAGTTGGCCAGAATGATTTTGAATTTTCAATCTTTCAACTATGTATCAGTCTCCAGAGTGTCGGGAAACACAGACATGCATCACTATATCTTTCCTAATTTTTTTAAAGTATTATTTTAATATTTTGTTTCCAAGTTATTTATTGCTTGTATGTAGAAATACAACTGATTTTTTTTTTCTTGAGGCAGGGTCTCACTGTGTAGCCCAGGCTGGCCTCAAACTCATGACAGTTCTCCTTAGCCTCCTTAGTGTTGGGATTACTCAATACTGATGTAAAGGTATTAAACCAGCCTTGCATTCCAGGGATAAACCATGTTTAGCCAGAATGCGCTTTTTGTATACTGATGAATTTAATGTGCTAATAGACTTTTCAGGATTTTTATGCCTATTATTTAAATAAGTAATTCTGGCTCAAATTTTTCTTATGATATTCTGGTCAGATTTTAATCAAGTCTATACTGCATTGGGAACTGTCATTTCCTTGGGTTTTTCTCTAGTCTGTGAAAATATTTGTGTAAAATTGATGATTTTTTCTTTATGTTTTTAGTAGATTTCATCAGTGAACTAATGTTCACTGTGGTTTTCTCTGCAGTTTTTTTTTACTTTTTTATCGGTACCAGGGATCGAACTCATGACTGCCTGCTTTCAAGGCAGGTGCTTATGCCGCTGAGCTAAATCCCCAGCCCCTTCTCTGCAGTTTTATGGATTTAATTTTTCCCCACAAAACTGGGGATCAAACCTGGGTATGCCAGCTAAGTGCTCTGCCATAGAGCTATGCTCTGAGCCTTGAATGCAATTTGTAACAGACACAAAACTATTTTGATTTTTACTTTGGTCAATTTCAAAGAGTTGTTTTTCAACAAAATTTTCCATTTCCTCTAACTTGTTGAATTTATCATTGCAAATTAGAGAAAAGATGGAATAATGGGGAGGGGAAAGGAAGGAAGGGAAAAGGAGAGAAGGAAATAAAGCTTTTGTAAGTAAGGAACAGTAAGAGAAACAAAGATTTTGTAAATAAATTTCAACAAAGTTTTTGTTGAAGGGAAGGAAGCAGGTTAGGGGAAAAAGAAGAATCAAGATGTATTATCTACAGATACAAATTCTTTATGATGAATGTGATCATTATATTATTTAAAGTGTACCAGTAAATTTAGTTTAGAAAAATAAAGGTTAAAAATACGGAATAATAGGGACCAGATTTGCCTTTCATCCTGGAGAAATAGAAGAATATATACAGGTCATAAAAGGATAGATAAATAGACAGACAGACAGACAGACAAATAGAGAGATAGATAAATTAGATTGTGCTTGGGGTGAGATTTCAAGTTTCAGAACAAGGAGAGAGAACCCAGCCTCAGCTTCCCTGAGTTGAAGGTGTGGAACCGGAAGTCTGGGAGGTCAAAGTAGTGAGACTTCACAGGATAGAGTATGAGAGAGGATGAGGCTGCACACAGAGTGAGGGAGCTCTGGAGATCTTCAGAGAATTCTTCCAAGTCTTCAGCTCCAGGTGCTGAGGAAATTACCCAAGACTAAAAACAGATCCATACTAAAGCATCAGTGGAACAACCCAGGCTGTGAAGAGCTCCTGTTTCTAGCAGAAAAGTAAACCTCGTAATTCAGAAATCACACTCAGCTAGTATGTTCAGTTTCCTCTCAAATAGCAGATGGAGTGGTTAGCCCTAGACTAAATGGTGCTCTGATCTCACCTAACAGAATTTAAAGACAAAATATGAAGCTAAGCCTGTTAGTGCACACCTGTAATCCCAGCTACTCAAGAGGCTGAGGCAGGAGGATATCAAGTTTAAGCCCAGTCTGGGCAACATAGTGAAACTCTGTCTCAAAAGGAAACAGTACTGGGAATATAGCTCAATGGTAGAGTGCTTGCCTAGAGCATACACAGCCCTGGGCTCCGTTCCCATTACTGGAAAAAAAAAAAATTAGAAGGAATCAGGCTGTCTCTAAGTAACTTAATCACATCTCAGAACAAAGGCTAAAAATAAAAGAACAGAAAAATGGGTATTAATGTTTTATTACATTCTAAGTATTATGATTGATGGATCATAGAGACTTTGGATTTTTTAATCTTTTTAAAAAGGGAACTGAATTTTATTTGGGCAGACAGTTGAAGTGTTGAGGGTCACCTTGAAGTTTGGCAGTTTTGCCCTTATTTCTAGGGTGTAGCATCTACTCAGGATGTGATCCTTATTCTTGAGGGGAGCCTTTCTGGGGTCTGTACTGCATACCTCATGTCTCCCTACATTTCTGATTTGAACTTCAAGGCCTCCCAATAGCTTTTGGTGTCTGAAGCCTGTGTCCAGCTAGCAAGCCTTTAGTAACCCTTCTCTCTAGACCTTGTGAAAGGTCACCCCAAGCATGGGCAGTTAGGATGTGTGTGGGCACTCAAAAGAAATCCTTCCCAGAGTTCTAGGGTCCCTTTTCTATATTGCCTTCTGCCCCAGGGCCCCACCCATCC